CTATCTTTCTTCTATTCTTCCTAAAATCGACTATTGCTGTGCCTTGTACGACAGTTCGTTTTCTCTTACTGTTCTTGATTCTGTAAACAAACTCGCTTCTCGTGTTATCTCTCGCAATTTTGACTTCAGTTTTTCTAGTTCTCTACTTGTGTCTCATCTTTCTCTTCCAAATCTCTCTCTTCATCGTAAATACTTTAGACTTTTACACTTTTTCAAAATTTATCATCGTCTAAGTCCTGTTTCTCTCTTTTACACTATTCATCGCCCTCACTACTCATCTTTACGTCTTCATCACTCTAAATACGTTCGTCTTCCACCTTCTGTTGATGGTTATTCTCCACAAACGATGCATTCTTCATTTATTTGTTCAACTATTACTGATTGGAATAATCTTCCAGAGTCAGTTATATTCTTCTCTTATGTCTTTCAAAACAGCGTTACTTCAGTATCTCTTCCAATGAAACGCTTGTCAGTTAAGCATTTATGCTTGTTCTTTTTTTATTTTTTCTGTTAAAACATTTTTTGTGTTTTATTTTACTACTTCTGGTTCTAATCTTAGTTGTCTTCCTTATTTTGTTATTTTTTTATTCCTGTTTTGGTGTTGTTTGGCTTGAGTCATTGTTACTACAGGTTGGTGACCTTTCATGACTCTCACTTTTCGTGAATAAACAATCTTAGTCTAGTCTTAGTCTACAACAAGAAGTTAGAAGATTCCGCAAGATCATACATGATCTTCGGATAAGATCTTACTAATAATATCTTTTCCACAAAACTTATCTTGACTTACAATCTGAAATGTGAACCTGCAGAAACTGCAAATATCTGAAGACCAAAATATCTAAATACGCTACAAAATGTGAACCGGCAGAAACCCCAAATATCCGAATATCTAAATATCTAACGGGTCTACCAAATCTGAACCTGCATATACCGTAAATATCTGAATACGTAAATATGTAGACATCTAACTAGCCTTCAAAAAGAGAACTTGCACAAACTGTAAATATCCAAATATGTGCATATTTAACTAGCCTACAGAATGTCAACCTGCATATACTGCAAATATCTGAATATGTAAATATCTAGATATCTAACTAAGCCACAAAATGTGAACCGGCAGAGACCGTAAATATCCAAATATCTAAATAGCTAACTAGCCTACAAAATGTCAACCTGCATATATCGCAAACATCTGAATATGTAAATATCTAGATATCGACCTAGCCTAGAAAAAGAGAACCTGCACAAACTGTAAATGTCTAATCATCTACACATCTAACTAGCCTACAAAAAATGAACCTATAGAAACTGTAAATGTCTCAGTATCTAAATACATAAATATCTAACTATCCTACAAAATGTGAACCTGCAGAAACTGTAAATATCCAAATATCTGCATATCTAACTAGCCTACATTACGTGAACCGGCAGAAACAGCAAACATGCGAATATCTAAGGAACTTTGATTCCTATAAAGTGTGAACCTGCAGGAACTGTAAATATCTGAAAAGCAAAAATATCTAAATATCTAACTAGGCTACTAAATGTGAACCGCCAGAAACCGTAAATATCCAAATATCTAACTAGCCTACAAAATGTCAACCTGCACATACTCCAAACATCTGAATATGTAAATATCTAGATCTCGAACTAGCCTAGAAAAACAGAACCTGCACAAACTGTAAATATCTAAATATCTAACTAGCCTACAAAAAATGAACGTATAGAAACTGTAAATGTCTAAGTATCCATATACATAACTATCTAACTAGCATGGAAAATGCGAACCTGCACAAACTGTAAACATATGAAGTCGAAATAGATTTGGCTGGAGATTTTTTGCAGACGAGTTGAAGAAAAATCTTTTTTGCAAGTTACTTATTAGCATAAGACATGACTAATTCGAAAATATCTCTTCTCAGGTCTTTTCCGTTACCGAGATAGGCGGCATTATCCGTAAAATAGCTACCTTTCCTGCCGGCTACTTATAATTACGTATTTCCTTCGTAAACAAAAGAAACACATAGTTCAATTTCCTTAACGACCTGTCGTCAAGTCCATCATCTTCATTCTCTTTCTTCCGATATGTATTAGAAAATATAAACGGATTGCGACATGTTCTTTAACTGGAAAAAAGAAACAGACTGCTCTACGATATGTTCTTTTCTTCGTTAATTATCATAAAAACAAGTCTTCCTCTTAGTCAAAAAGGTGAACGAAATGAGGAAATAAAAAGCTTCTGCAAAGAACATCTTCAGTTCTAAATATGTCGGTAGTCTTTCGTCCCATGTCTACACTGATTGGCTTGTACTAATTTCGGTGTTCCTTCCCATCATCGATCGTTTGTTCCTAAACGAGATTATGAACTGTTTCGTCCAAACCTGTTCAGCGTTGTTCGAATGTGTCGTTTAAGAAATTCGAATTATTTTCGGACGTAACAGAAACCCTGCAGCTACTAATACATCTTCCAGTACCCCAGTACTACTTAAAGTACATACTTAAACCCAACACACGTACGGCGCCGAGCAATGTGTAGAATAAAACATCTCAAGTTATAGGTTTGAATGAAACATTCATCATCGTTGATGACGAGAAATATTTTACTTTTTCAGGCGATGATATGCCTGGAAATGTTGGATTTTATGCTGCTGACAAAGAAAACACTCCACCAGATGTGAGGTACAAATGCAAACAAAAATTCGCTCCCAAAATATTAGTTTGGTTAGCATTATCCAGCAAAGGCATTTCAACACCATACATTGGAACAACGAAAGGTTCAGCCGTTACTGCCGACGTATATGCTGAAAAATGTTTGCTAAAATTGTTGACATTTTCAATAAACTTCATCCTGATGATAAATATATCTTCTGGCCGGACTTGGCTAGCTCACATTATGCTAAACAAACAACAGAATGGCTTAATGAGCGAAAGGTAGCATTTGTGCCAAAATGTGCCAACCCGCCAAATGTTCTAAAAGCTCTACCAATCGAGGATTTTTGGTCGATATTGGCTGATAAAGTGTATAATGGAGGTTGGACAGCTACGAATGAGAACCAATTAGTCAACAGAATTAAAGCGTAGTTGAAAAAAATTGATTTGAAAGTCGTCCAAACCATGATGAAACGTGTTCGTGGAAAATTGCGAAAAATCGAAGACAAAGAACCCTTTTCTATTTTGTAAATATATGATTTTGTTCATCTTGTGTCATTGTATTTTTGATAAAGGAAATAGAAAATAAAAGCTAAAGATGATGTAGATATAAGCATTTCTTTTTTGTCCGAAAACTTTCGGATCACCCGTTATATCAATAAAAGAATCATTAAAAAATACTCTTCAGAAAAATGAAATTACTGATGGATAATAACCAAAAGCAACAACAACAAGTAGCAGACGACTCCGATTTGATGTTTTCATACCGCGATGGTAACAACGATCGCAATGTTGACTAATCAGTCCTGATACAGTCGTAAACTGACGGTGTCGGTCTTACAAATCTGATTGGACCGAAAAAGGATAAACATAAAATTACGTTAATTTATTTTCTTATCGAAGATATTCCAGACATATTTCGATCCACGTTACAGTGTATTAACCTTATAGCAATACGTTATATCTGTCTGATGATGAGAAATTTGAAAAATTCTATTCTCCGATAGTGAACGATTTAAACGAATTGCAATCAGTTGATCAACCTGTTTAGTAGACAAATACGATTTACCTTCGCATCAGCATCCGCTGATAATTTGGCTGAGGTTGATGGTTTTCAGGAAGCATTTAGTACAGAATATTTTTGCCAACGATGTTAGGTAACGTATGAAGATCGAGCCATTCCGTTAACCGATATTACATTCATCCGTTGAGACAATATAAAACATGAACAGTGCTTGCAACGGTTGCTAAACTATCCAACTAAACAACGTATCCAACTAAGCAAAAAATTACTGACGAAGGCCGGCGTGACTAGTCCGAATGTATGTATATCCCGTCAGGACAAACGGTTGGTAATGTTCACATCATTCAGACAACTATTATACAGCACGATAAAGCACATTACCAGTGACTCAGGTGTATGTGGCAATTGTTAATAATACTCAGCTTTTCTTTTGATTCATTCTTTATTTGTGTTTAAATCTTTCTTTCACGTTAGTATGCTATGTGTTCTCTTTTTTTATTGTTTTGTTCGGCGATAGTTTTTTTGACATTTAGCACTTTCTTTTCTTTTAGAAAATGTCTTAAAGTTTATTTTTCGATAAATAAAGAATTATGTACATATGTTATAACGAAAAGAGAGCTAGAGCTTAAGAATCGAGGTTAATGGCAAATTCTATCAAGAGTATTACAACTCTGTAGGCTTTGGACGAAATATAAGCAACTTTTTGGAGCCAACATGATGCAAGAAAAAATGAAAATTTGTAATGATTAAAGGTTTCACTTAATCTTTCGGCGCTAAAATTGAATTGTACGTCGTGTATGCCTTTCTCATTTGGTAGCATCGTACAAGAAGCATTAAAAGAACTAGGTATGTGCTTTAAGATGAGAAGAAAATCAGGATGTTAAATATCCTATCAGAATAATTACACGTTGAGTCCAATGGTCTCTGAAATGTTCAAAAATCTCTTCAACAGTATTTGAATTTAACCAAGAACATTAGAAAAAAAATATGAGACATTTGAAACTCTCAAAACAATTCTAAGAAAATGAGAAACTTATCGGTGTAAGATTTTACTCCGATTACTACTACAACAGACAGGAATGAAAGGTTTCATTCAAAGCATATGCTTAATTTTCAAGTATATAAAATCTATTGTTTTCAATGAACAACCTGTTGGATAGCAAAATAAATAAGAAATGAAACACAAATGATAGCGCTTTGACTTTTTTATTCAAGCAGAAACATGCGACATCTATTCACATCACTTTTCGCTGTGATGGTTTGAATCGTTCTACAAGTGCTGACATTGATGACTGGGAGATTATCAAGGAATAATCAGTTGTATTTGAAGACATAAGATGTGATTGAAAAACTATTATGACAACGAAACGACAACGAAAATTCAAACAAACACATCGTTTTTCCGTGTCCAACACTAGTCGAAAGTGCTTGATATCGTTTTGAACCGACGTATGTGCTGAGAATGAAAAAATGAATATATTCTGGCTTGATCTTAGTAAAAATATCTTGACCCACAAAATAACGGGAGCGGTAGAATAGATGGCGGTTCCAGTATTTTCTTAATTTTCTTTTTAATTTTTTAATTCAATTTTCATCATCCATACTTTGTTTTGTTTTTTAAAAATTTCCCATTCATTTCTCCACATAAAGCATATTGAATATTTCTTTATGTTCTTTATCATTCAACTGAAATTCTTAAAACTACATTCAATGGTTTCTTGATTATGTTTTAATAACGTTTCAATCAAATTTTTTTTAATATGTTGTGCTGAGATGAGTTTCCACTTTGGTGAACATATAGACATGAAAGACCTAAATCCGGAATTTTCAGTAAAGATGGTGGTAAATTACACTCAGTAGTTAGATCTTGTGCAATCGAAATGTTCATATTGTCTCATTTTGATCTTTGTAAATTGTTTGAACCACAGTAGGAAAGATCATTTGGCTGTTAATCACACATCGATCGATCGTCAGTATTTCACATTCAATTGTGTATTTAATGCATTGAAATCGTGCAAATAAGAACACCTCAAATGTGACGTGAAACCTTTATTTTCATTATACGTTTTATCGCAAATCTTACATTTTCCTTTGATTTTATTATGAGGAGTGTTTGATGAATACAAAACATCTTTTTAGCTTCTCCATTTGTTAATTCCGAGGATATAAATATCACTAAGTTCGATTGTTTTAGTTCGTGACAAGAACTTTTAGTTTATATAGCAGTGGCCAACACGATGTTTTGATCTGAAAATTTTTCTTATGGCATGTGTATCATTTCTACTTTTTGTACATACAATTCATTCTGTTATGTATTCAACACGTATGTAATTATAATAAATAATTTATTACGTTTAAACATTACTTTTTTCTATGTATTACTTTTCTACGTAATTTATTTGGTTTTATTTTCTTTACAACGGTCATAAATTATTCTTTTTTAAATATACATACTTTGTCTTCCTCGTAATCACACGATAAATGTATTTTAATTTCAAACAGAGTTAAATATATTCAATAGCCAAAAAGTGACTGCTTTTCAACCACAAAAATGTGAACTTAGAATCCTATTTGTTATGCAAAGCATTTTTTCTTTGTTGCTTAGTTTAAGCGTCCGAGCGATAATAGACCATAGCGCTAAATATAAAAAGATCACGCACTTGAATCATTTGTAAACTTCTGAGAATGGAAGACATGAGATCCAGATCTAGGTTCAAGTAAGATAGGCTACAGGTCACAATTTTCATTTTTCAGATTCAAGTTGCAAGGTCACGTCTAAATTGTGCATGTTCAAGTTTCCACTCACCGCAAAGTTGATCGTCCTTGCGACTTACAGCGTAGCCTAACAAAATTAGATTCTCTTGATTCTTCTAAAAATTTTCCCTTTTATCTGCACAAGTCACAGGTCCAGATCTAGGTGTCCTATCTCTGATAGCCTCATTTATCATATAAATATTTTCACTTTAAAATGTTTTACAGTACTGTTTACTACAGACTCTAGCCGAATAATTTTTCTTGAGTCAAACAAAGTTTCATGGCCGGTGTCGATCTTTTCCAAGGGTCTCATCAGATTACTTTATCTGCTAGAACGGAACAACTGGATGACAACCAAGAGCCGCTGCGTCCATACCGAATGAGATGTTGCTAATCGCTCTGAAGAGAGATCTGCAATTTTCATACAGTGATGACAAGAAGACAGTCTCTACACTCGGTGCCATCGCATTTATTGCACTTCTGCGAAAAAGCAGATTCCTTCTTTTGACTCATCAAAAATCGTTCTTTCTTTCCGTCCTGTCTCTATTGATTGCTCAACCAGGTTGAAACATCGTGTTAGTCACATTATGGATCGATCATCAGAAATGATTATTTATTCTTTTATTAGTAAAACTAGAGTAACCCAAAGACATTAAATGATGAAGTATTGAGAAAGGTCGTAATCCATCGTAGTATCTTCATTTGACTCATGAAAATTAGTCTGCTAGAGTCTCTAGTAAACGTGGTTGTAAACATTATAACGTTACTACTAAAGCTCAGTGTCAAAAAAGACTTGAAATTCCTTGGTAGATTTTATTAGTCTAATAGTCTGATAATGAATGCAGCCATTTTGATTCCATTTTTAATTGGTTTCAGATCGTGGATATTTCGATCTTATCAGAACATATTGGATTTTTGATGAAAATCTTCAGTTTGTGACTACTGTCCATTTCAGCATAGAATACATTCGGTTGGATGTTGAATAACTCGGGAACGCTGATAGCTATCGAGTTCGGGTTTTTACCATTAGAAAGGACGTGATTGGGGGCATCTATCTAGCAGAGAATCAAAAGGCTTGAAAAAGTCTTCTAGAGGCTTTCCAGAAGGTTTCTGGAAAATCGATTGACTGGTTTTTCAGTAGTAATAGTGTTGACAAGTCAGCCCCCCATAAAATTTCGAATATGCGCAAAATCATCATTTTTGGAGCTTTACAATGCATACGTAGGTATATTGATGACAAGTACATAACATTTTGATGTCAGAAAAATAAGTGAAAAAAGATACGTACCTCAAAATCATGTATGTTATAGAACGAGTTAGTTCTTTAACTGAAGAATAATTTTTGTTTATTTACAATCGGTTTCCTACAAATTGGGCAAGACGATACCTTTTGGGAGCATAGTTCGCATGTTGCAACATGACCACAAGGAAGAAATACCATATTCGACTTTTGATCCAAACATATTGCACAGTCATTGTTAGAACCGCTAGATTCTGAAGTTTTTGTTACTGTGGTTGGTATTTCCATTGCGATTAGTTGTCCTTTGTTATATGTTCGTTCTGCCATGGGCAGTCTCGAATAATTATTTGAACGATCTTTACAACGCTCTCCATAATGATGTGGGGCTGATTTATTAAAACCTAACACATGACA